TGAACTGACGCTTGGAGCTAGTAGACACCAGTCCTTGTCTGAATGTCCCTTATAAGCAAGACCCATGATGATAATCCCAAAATCCCAAAGTGCTGGATAAAAGGAGGAGGCTTCCCTCACACCTCGAAGTAACACCACTGGATCTGGATAGTCCCAATCAGGTCACGCAGGAATGGATGAATGGGCTCCTCAGGGTAAACGACGACACGCACAGACGGATGAAGGAGAACCAAACAACCTGATCTCTCCTCAGCGAAGATTATGTCAAGGTGGGAAAACTGGGTTAGCGTGTGGGGTGCAAAGTAATTGGGCGGTGTGCACAGAAAAGAGGGGCGGGTGCATAACTGAGATGCACACGCATGGTATTAGTGCGGGGTGCACAGGTTTGGAGCCGTGTGCAGAGGCCTTCTTCAGGGTGGTTTTGGTGGGAAGAGACACTGCTGAGGTGAAAAGGGGTCAGCAGACTCCATTTTGAATTATAAACTCCATTTTAAAAACACCTGCCTGGATAACAGAAGATACATTGAAGTATGTTGGTGCGGATTTCCCACTCATGGTCGGGTGCGAAATGTCTGCTCAGGGAGTCTGCAACGACATTGTTGGTGCCAGGTAAGTAGGATGCTATTAAAGTGATCTTGTTGCGAACACACCAATTCCAGAGGTGGACTGCCTCTGCACAGAGGAAATCGAGACCATGCTCCACCTTGGCAATTTATGTAATATATTGTGGCAATATTGTTGGTGAGTATTCTGCAGTGCAACTATCAGATGTAATCCTGGAAGTGTCTGCAGGTGTTGACGACTGCCCTGAGCTCAAGAAAATTTATGTGGAGGGCTGTCTCTCTTGATGACCACCGGCCTTGCACGTACATGCCATTCATATGGGCACCCCAAATGATGAGGGAGGAGTCCATGGTAATCTGGGCTGAAAGCTGAGGCCAGTGGAATGGAACACCATTAGTCCTAGTGTAGTACAAAAAAAAAGCAGCTTGACAAGAGGTTGCGGGGATCAATCCACCATTTGAGGGATGTGCAAATGTTGTGGGGAGGGGCCACTGATCTGTGGACATAGTGTCTTGTAGGGGTATACACTGTGTCATCCACTGCCGAAGGCAGAGGAAGCGTAGTCTTGTGTGATGGCCTACGTAAGCTGTTGCAGTCATATGGCCCATTAATGGTAGGCAAGTGAGTATTGAGACAGCAAGACAGGTGATCAGCACAGAAAGCAGATCTTGGCTGGACTGAAACTCTTTAACGGATAAGTAGACTCGTGCTGCAGAAGAGTCAAGATGAACGCTTATGAAGTCCAAAGTCTGAGAGAGTTCAATCATGGACTTCTGTTTCGTTGAATCAAAAGTCTGTCTAGCTATTGTTATCATATGCTGTGTCTCCACCAAGGAGGGGCCTTTTATAAGGCAATTGTTGAAGTAGGGGAAAAATTATAATTATAATGCCCCTTCGACGTAAATGAGCTGCCACTACCGCAAGGGTTTTTGAGAATACCCTGGGGGGGAGGGGGGGAAAAGAAAGAGGGTGGATGAAAGGCCGAACGGAAGTACCTGATACTGGAAATGTTTCCTGCCTACTGTAAAATGAAGAAATTGCCTGGATAGATAATGATGTGGAAGTAGGCATCCTGAAGGTCGAGGGCTGCAAATGAATCCCTGTCGTGTCTAAGGACAGTATCATGGATGCAAGGGTTAACATTTTGAACCGCTGTTTTCGGAGATGCCGACTGAGCTTTCGAAGATCGAGTTTGGGTCTCCAGTTTTCTCCTGCATGAGGAAATAGTGAGAATAGAATCCTCTTCCCCTGAACTCGTCCGGTACCTCCTCTATGGCCCTAATGGAGAGAAGACAATGGACCTCTTGTTTCAACAAATTCTCGTGAGAAAGGTCCCTGTAGAGGGACTGGGTGGGTGGGTAGTTGCAGGCAGAGAAAGGAAGTGGATGGTGAAACCAAATGACATGATCTCCAAAACCCAACTGTTGGATGTAATGGTGGCCCATTGGCGATAAAACGGCCTCAGATGGTTCTGAAAGAGATGAGGCTTGATGTTCCGGGTTGACAACAGGAAGTGGTTACAAGCCTCCGACTAAGGAGTCAAATCTGCTTTTTGGCTGGTTGATTAGAGGCACGGTTGGTCTGATTGCTCTTTCTTAGAGGCCACTGTCTTGATCATGATTGGTGAAAACCATGTTGCTGATGTCTATTATATGTGTAATCGTGGCTCCTTGTTTGCAGTGGTATGGAAGTGTGTACATACCAAGATTCCAGAGGGTGGTATGTCAATCTTTGCTGGAATGGAGGACCTCATCTGTTCTCTCGGCAGAGAGCTTTTGTCAAAAGGGAGGTCCTCGACCTTGCTCTGTAACTCTCTCAGAACTCCCGCAGTTTGCAGCCATGAAGACCTCCTCATCGCAATTGCGGTAGCCCTGGAATGGGCAGCTGGGTCCGCGACATCCAGAGTGATCTGAAAGCCTGTCCTAGCTGAGTCATGGCCTTCTTGGTCTATGGATTTTAGGATGGGTCTCTTGGGAGATGCTCCATCAACACTGTAAGTTTCGTATAATTGTAGAAATTGGGATTTGACAAGAGCGCAGCATATTTGGCAATGAGAAGTAGTAGTGTAGTGGAGGAGTACACCTTCCTGCCAAATAAGTCTAATCTTTTGCTGTCCTTGTCCATTGCCACATTCCTGTACTAAGCAGCCTTAGACCTGTGCTGCGCGGCATCTATGACAAGCGAATTTGGCTGGGGATGGTTGAATAAAAATTTCATCCCCTTTGATGGCACAAAGTATTTCTTATCCACCCTTTTATTTGTTGTTGGTGGGGTTGAGGCAGAGATCTGCCAAATCTCCTCTGCAGCTATGATTGCCTCATCTATCGGGAGTGCGATTTTGGCCTGATGCGGGGACTGTAGATTTTTAAGGAGGCAGTACTGTTTATCCTGCACCTCTGCCAATTGGACCTCCTGGCTCAACACAAATCTCTGCTTACGATTGTAGGGGGGACAATATATTGCCTGGGATTATGGCCTCATCAGGAGAGGATGATGACTGGTCAGTAGGTGAAATGTCAGGTTGTTGCTCTTCAGTCTCTGATAATTGCCCCTCCTCTGGTTCTGAGTGATACGCTTGAGGTGGTGGGCTTTGTGGTGGTGGCAGCGGGGGGTGTCACTCACATGGTGATACGGAGGCAGGCATGTATTCGGGCAATCTACAACACGGGGACCATCTCCTCAAATGTGACCGATGGTAATGATGATGGGATGAAGAGTACGGTATGTGGTTGCGATGATAGTTGTGGTAATGATACGATTGTCCAGGGAAGGGATGCCTAGAAGAAAAGGCACTCCTGTGCTCCTCCTCACATGCCGCATGTGGGGACAACGCAGGTGAGTGAGGAAAGACTTCAGAGCCTCTCGATGAGGTGGGTGGAGAGAGGTGCTTGACATAGTATCAAGAATCTCTCTGCGGTGCTGCCAGGTATGGGGATGGAAACCTGTGATGTGGCGAGTATAAAAGCTCCGCCCATTCCATATGAGGAATGCGTGGCACCAGCAATCTTGGTGCCGGAGGAGAAGGTGCCAAAGCTGGAGAGAATGTCAGGAAGGCCGAAATAGGGCTAGGACGCCTATGCATGTTGGTCTTTCCAGACCTTTTCCTCAGTGCTGAGAAAGCATCAGGCCTTACCGGTGCCTGCTTGGATTGCGGCATAGGTTCTGTAGTAGCTGGTGCCATTGGGGTCGGCCTGGATACCAGTGCCGGTGCCTTAGATGATGAAGACACCGGTGCCAATCCTGATGTCAGTGCTGACGGTGCCTGCACAGTCGGCACTGCAGCCGGTGCCTTTTTAGGTCTTGTGCCTGGAACTGCCTTTGCATAGGAAGATATATTCCGGGTTTATTTCTCGTGCTCACCCTGCTCATCAGGGCCAGTGGCAAAGAACATGCAGGTGAAGCCCGCATCTTTTTTGTTGGGGCCACCCCTGGAGAGGACACTCTGCGTTTCTGTGTTGCAGCAGAGTCTGGTATAGCCATGGATGAGGAGTCCAATGATTGGAGCGCCTTGTCAAATAAAATAATTCAAAGGCCCATTTTTCTGTCCCACCAGGCTCTTGCTGTTAACTTGGGGCAATAGGCACATAAGCCTCGCCCAAACAGCAGATACAAGGCAAATGGCCATCTGAGGCTGGCATAGGCTTATGACAAACATCACATTTTTTAAAGCCCGGAGAACTCAGCATTGTCCGTTCAACTTCCTAAAGGCCAGTGAAATGAAGAAAAAAGTTGTTGTTTTTTTAAACTATAAACTAACTACAACTATTAATTATAAACTAGTAACATTAACAACTACTAACTAATTACTGTATTTGCTTCTCTAACTAGATGAAGTTGAGGAGAAAGAGAGAGCTCTGTCTGCGACCGAGGACAGTTGAGAGGAACTGGCAGCAGCCAGACTGCACTCATAAGACAAAGGGCACTAATGACACGGCTACAGCTACGGCTATTGAAAGTCTCCGATCTGCAGCAGCAGCGGGATAGGCCTGACACCTATAGTGGAGTACCCACGGGGACACTACTGAAAGAAGAGTATTACTTTATTCTCAGTAAAGAATATTTTGTATGAACACTGACTGCTCAGTTATGGATCATCTTGTGAAAGCCTCTAATTGTGCTTGGAATGCCTTTGTTACTTAAACAATTTCATGAATGAATTGTGTTGTCAGTATGTTTTCACCTTTATTTACAGAAAAATCATATTTGAATTATTTTTTGCAACGTTAGAAAGACTACAGCTATGTGATACCCTACACATTTGTCAAAGTCTACTTCTAAAAATCTAATAAACTCTTCTGTATTTTACTGTAACGAAGAAGCGTCACTACAACAAAAGAAGCTGTACTGTAATTAGGAGCCTAAAAACAGAGGCTTTTAAAAAATTCTGAAGAGAATTTATTTTTGGCAAAAATCATTTTTTCTCATAACATCAGAGGTTGTTCTGACTAGAGATTTTAATGGTTATTTCCATGAATTAGGACTACATTAAGAGTTTGATACTTCTGACAGCTTTAGATTAAAAGTCACAGTAAGCAAGAATATATTTGAATGGATTTACCTTTAAAGTGGATAGTTAAATCTACAATAGGCAGCTACCACCACCTCCTATCACAGCAAAACAGTACAAAGTGTGTTGATGTTATATCAGCAAAACGCAGTCCATATTCTTACAGAATATACAGATGACAGTTCAAAGATATTAACATAAGTACTTTACTCAACATAATATGGAGTCATTCTGCTTGACTAATATACATATACCAATTAATCTAGACAAAGTATTGAAAAATAAATTTTATTCTTCCTGTACTGAAGTGATGGTACCATACAAGTTGTCAGTTAGGTGAAAACAGCTTTTGGTAGCTAGTTGGTCCATTAAGTTGTCCTGCAAGTAATGTAGTTTTAAAAGATTATAAAAACAGATGCAAGTCCAACTATCTGTTTTAATATGCATATTAATAAAGACAACACATTCATTTGTGTATTCCATGAATTTTGCTGCGTATGCAAGTGGACTGAAACCATCATCTGAACTGCATGCATGAGTTCTCCAACTGTACATGTTCTTCATAATTTAAAAACCCACTTTATAATTTAAAATATTATATACCATGTTAATAGTGTTCAGCTTTCCTTCAACTAGAATAAGCCAACATTATTAGTTGACTTGGAATTTTAGCTTGGTTTTGAGAAAAGATAATTGCAAAAATATATCCCCAGATTCAAAATGTACTATACAGAACTAGAAAAACATCAAAAGGCTGTGATACTTTTGAATTTCTTAATGTATTTAGAAAGGATAGCAAGCCAAAAGTGAAGTATCATATAGTACAAATATTTTGACACCCAGAGCACACGGCATACAGCGCAAGATATATACAGTGTGACTGCTTTGGAAGCATATACAGAGAATCGCAGCTTTGATTACTTAAGTTAAACTTGATCTCGTAGACGGGCCAGTCTCTGAGACAGCTCATCCTGCAGAATGTCAGAATAAAAAAAAATTATTTTGTATTTTACTTTTTAAAAGCTAATACATAAGACTTGCACTATCATTCACACCACAAACACATTAGTAAGCAAAACAAACAAGAGCCAGATAAGAATTTGTATTTCTAGGAGACAAGTATTAATTGACTGAACTGTAACCGTCATTTAAGTACTAGAGATGTAGCCGTGTTAGTCTGGTCTTGCTGAAACAAAAGACAGGACGACTATGCAGCACTTTAAAGACTAACAAGATGGTTTATTAGGCGATGAGCTTTCATGGGCCAGACTCACTTCCTCAGATCAAGTTGTGGAAGAAAATTGGCATGACCATATATACCAAAGGGATAAAATAAAAAAAAAAAAATGAACACGCATAAAATTGACAAATCAGATTTTAGAACGTGGGGGAGGAGGGAAAGGGGGAGGTTAGTGTCTATGAGATAATGATATTAGGGGTGATAATTGGGGAAGCTATCATTGTACTGGGTAAGGTAGTTAGCATCTTTGTTAAGGCCCATATGTAAAGAGTCAAATTTAAGCATGAATGACGTCTACACAGCAACTTTATTTTGAATTAGCTAGCATTATTTCAAAACAACTTAGTCCATATCTACACAGCAGGCAGTTATTTTGAAATGTCAAAATATTGTCAAGATACTCCGACTCCTGTAACCCCCATTGTACAAGCAGTAAGGGAAGTTGGAGGAAGAGTGCTTTATTGCAAAATAAGTGCTGTGTGGACACTTATTTTGAAATAAGCTATGCAATTGATGTGGCTCCATTTGTGTAGCTTATTTTGAGTTAAGTCCTGTTGTGTAGATACACTCTTAGTTGCATCCTCAAATGAACCAAGCACAAGTTCAGCACAGATGAGAAATGGAAGTAGAATGGTGGCTCCAAACCACCTTGTACCTCTGCCACTTCCAGAACCAGTGATCAAATGAGACCTTAGTGCAGGCTGGAACTTCTCCTTTAACATGATTTGTCTAAAATAGTTCCCTAAAGGGTTATTCACTAATGCACATTACTCTAGAACTAAAGTCTCAAATCTTTCTTCACCAGGTCAGGGGAAGCAAGTGGTGTTAAAACTGACACAGCTGTTACTTCTGCTGAAGTTTTGCCTAGTGTCAAAGGAATCCTGAGCTTCTCATTCAGAGCTAGCGTAAGGCCCCTATGCATCACTTCAGGAGCGTAGGGGATCTTAGCAAGAGAAAAGGATCTGATGCAATGTATGCACAGGATGGCCCTGAGATAGCGACAGAGGAAAAGTTAAAAGTATGTGCACAACTAGTTTTACTTACACATTGCACTTATTTTGTTAAATATAAAACTAATGTATTATATGGTCCTAGAGGTTTGCAAATAAATTTCAGTATTAAAATTTCATGTACAACAGTAACCTTTTTAAATAAGAAAAAACGTAAACAACAAATAGTCTGGTAGCTTTAAAGACTAACAAAACATGTAGATGGTATTATGCGCTTTCGTGGGCACAGCCCACTTCTTCAGATGACTAGTTCCAGACATCCAACCCTCCAGTCATCTGAAGAAGTGGGCTGTGCCCACGAAAGCGCATAATACCATCTACATGTTTTGTTAGTCTTTAAAGCTACCAGACTATTTGTTGTTTACGTTTTTCCTGTTACAGACTAACTTGGCTACCCCTCTGAAACCTTATAAATAAATGTGATATATGATCTATTAGAAAAGTTACAAAGCAATATTTACCTGCTCTGTGGAAGCAACACTTGTGCCAACAGAACCCATTTGCCCCTGGGGCAGTTCCATGTTCAGATCAAGGCTACAATTGAAAACACAAAACAAATATATATCATGAATATCAATATGGCAACAGGCCACAGCAGAGTGTAAGCAGTTCACAAATGGCATTCTGTGCAGTATGCAGGCACCAGAGTCTTAAGCACAACCTAATACTTTGTATGTCAGTTAATTAGGCAGGCTTGATCAGGAAAGTGGGGTGATCACTAAGCAAAGAGTTTGTCAAAGTTAACAGCAATAATTGCTGAGATGATTAGCAAAGTTTCTGGTTCCTGGGGATGCTTTTGAATAGTATCAATGGGTTAAGCAAGTCTCAGATTGGAGAGACGGTATGAAATGCTACATCAGAATTTGAATCCAAAATACATTAAATGAAGGTAACTGTACATATCCCCGCAGAGGTAGTACGGTGCACTAATTCTCTGTCCCTCCCAAATCCACAACAAAGCCCAGTCCACAAGCAGGGATGATGTTTTCATGCCTATGGGCCAGTGTGCTAATGGCAGTGAAGCAGTAACACCAACTCCTTACAAAGACGACAAGAAAGGCGTGTAATTAGCACATCGGGCAATGGACTAAAAGGAACCTCCTGGGTCATCAAGTTTAGTCCCCTGCCATCATTGGCAATATCCTCAGCTCAAAATTGACGAGAGAGAGTAAAAGCAGAGTTGACTGATTATCTAGTTGAAATATCCTGGGCTCAAACATTTTGTAAATTAAAATAAATGATCCTTGCTGCCTTAATAAACGCAGACAACACAATATTATTAAACATCTGTACTTAATATATTATATAGCCTTGCCCCCCACTCATTTCTATTATAAGATCACAATAAAAAATGGATCATGCTCAAAGAGTTGAACCTATTCATATACATGAAACACACCATAAATTAGGGGTGTTAAATTTAGATTAATTGGCTAATCAAATAGTTGATGCAATTTGCCCCAGGGCTATTGCTACACTTCAAAGGTGAGGCTAAAGCGCTATGGGGAGCATGGGGCCAGCGGGGGACTCAAGTAGTCCCTTGGTGGCCCCATGCTCCATGTGGTGTTTCAAAGGGGCAGTGCCACAGGGAGCCCGGAATCAGTGAGGGAGTCTCCAGCTGACCCCAGATTCCATGCTTTGAAGCACCCCCCCCCTTCTCTTCCATGCCCCTTTGCTGCCTCTTTCTGATAGAGGCAGCAAGTTGGAGGCGTGGGAGCTACGAGTTGTTCACATTCCTACCCTAAATAGGTTTAGCTATTTCAGTATGGTCCCTGTCTTTGAAGTGCTTTTTAAATTATAGAAATAAACTGCTCTAGTTCTAGACTTTATCATAAATAATCATGCAAACACTACATGGTGGTTTATAATCTCAATCTATTTTCACTCAAGAAGATTTGAATCACAATATCCAGAAGTGAAAGCACAGCATATATACAGCCACTTGATTATTTAGCTGCACAAGAGTAGCACATTTAAAGTGAGGGAAATATGAGGGTAATTTAATTAAAATCAAATACAAAGTCCAGATGCAACTGCCCCTAAAATACACAAATACTACTACTACTCATTTATATTATACTCACCCTGCTTCATCCGCCATTTCCTGTAGAAGTGTATCCACTTGGTTCTATAGCACAAGAAATAAAAAATGAGTCAGTTTCTATTATATTTAAAAACAAGATTAATAGTACAATTTGAAATAAGCAAAAATTCTACTGTCTTATACTGGAGCATCTGTGGATTTTGAACATTTATAGTACTTTACCACCAGAGGGAGCTATAAGAATTAAGAATAATCTTATACTATGTCATGCAAATCAATTCTCCCAGTTTAACTGCCAATCTGTAATATTTCCAGATACAATTAAGTCTAATCCTTTATGTACAAATCACATCACTTTAATATCCTAACAGAAATGTTACCATAGTCATCACTATTTTGAAATTAGGGCACAGAAAGCATCTTCTCCCAAAGTCGACTTCTTTATATAATTCTTAGAACAAAAACTTTTTACTCTTTGGAACCATTTTTTAAATTGTGATACAGCTGACATTGGTATGCTTTTTTAAACTAAAAATGTGTATTAAAATTTAATCAAAGTTCCATACATTTCTAAGGAAAGGCTGACAATTTCATACTAGAATAGCACCCCAACACATAAGATGGGGGTTTGATAGTATGCATAACATTTACATTAGCAGCTCAAACTATTCTTTTGTTCACAAGGTAGCAGGTTAAATTGAAAAATTCCTCAACTCCTGTAACATCTTTCAGAAGCCAGAAGGAATAGAAGAAATGACATCATCTGTGCACAGCTGATTAATATGATAGTTATTAATTGCAATATCAATTATTCTTACTTGTGGTGTTGTTAATGTAGTTGTGTTACTCATTGTGTCTTCCATCTGTTGCGTCTGAACATCTAATGTTTCAAACTGGTGCTCAAATTTGTCCATTAGGGCAGATATCTGCAGATAAATAAATATTATCAAACTAAAAAACTGAATGTATACCTCCGAGTTCCAAATAGTTAAATTTATATCTACCTTTTCCAAGTTCATGCTCTTCAATGTAGCATCCATAGATTTAACTACTCCTGCCATTGATTTTGTTACCTGAAAAACAAAAACAAAAAAACCCCACAATACGTAAAAGATATAAACCTAACATAAAAAAACCCAAAACGCATAAGGAACATAATTAGTTTGGTTAATCCATTCTGTTTAAGTAGACTTGTTTGTTCTCATGTTCTGTATCTAAAGAATTGTTACAGCTCTGTAGTAGTGGTGTTTATACAGCTATTTAAGGGTCTGTCAGGTTTTTTTACAATAAACGATATTTTTTCAGAATTTTACAGTTTAGCTGTAAAACACGATCGTGGCTCAATCTCTATGACTAAGACATTTCACAAATAACTGGGAACTGAAACCTAGATAAGCTTGTTTGAGTTACGACTGGGGGCTAGTAAGCCTACCTACCCTGGTTGTAACTGTGAGAAAGTGGGTAAAAATTCAGAACGTCACAACAACCTATAACAATGGATGTTGAAGGTAAAAGATGTAAAAGGGAGACCAAAAGCTGAGTTAGTCTAAACAAAAAGGCCTACTAATATTATTCAAGGTCTGTGTTAAATTCATACTTGGCAAAAAAAGAAATCAGTGTTGAATTGGAAATTAGACTTAACTGGTGATCAAAACAATAAGGAAACAAGCTATCCCAGTCATTGATTCCTTCAGAGCATCAAAGAGAGACTTGGGGACATGAGGAATGTGGACACTGGCTGACAAAGACGAGAGAAAGGGAAGGAACTAACTTTACCATTATGGCTGTCACACTCATTGTCTCTTAGGAATCCAAAATCCACTGTCACACCACTGGGCTCCCACATTAGGTCAGATATTTAGGGACCCAGATGGCATCGTCACCAGCACTGCTTCCAGCTGACTTCCAAATGCCACCTTGGATGTGAGACACTGTCGCTTCTCAGCTCCTGACTCCTATCTCTTTTCCTTCACTATCTTATAGCTTCACTTTTCTAGCCTCCTTTTTCCTTCTATCCAATAAGATTCTGGCTAAGTGATCAAGGTTGTATATTTCACAACACTGCTGTAAGTCTGCAACCAGAAAGAGGCAGCTAAATGTGATGCCCTAGAATAGCCCACTGCTGGTACAAGCTTTCAAGGCCTGAATGTGGCTTCTAAGATGTTAGACAGTGCTTGTGTTTCTCCAGTAACAAGGATACAAGCAAAAGTCAACACCAGAAACAGAAGCTGCATTTTCTATCTTCAGTGCTCTTTTGTTTTCCATATGTGCTTTTCTTGTTTCATCTTAAAGAAGGAGCAGACTAAGAGCAACAACAGCTTTAGCACCAGCCCCTCTCAAGAAACTTCTCTTTTCCCAAAAAGGACAGTTACCACAATCTTAAAAACCCTAACCATCTAAAAGACTGTCCAACAAAGGGATTTTCTTTTCAAAAACTTTCTAGACACAGGAAAAGGAAACAAGACACATTAAACTAAAGCCTTACTTAATACCTTTCATTTCAAATGCTTCAGTTGTTTTTCCTACCTTTCTGTATCTTTACAACAGGGAGGGGGAAGGAGGGAGTAAGGGACAGGGTTAAAGGTAATGGTGTGGTATTAATCAGGTGAAGTTCCTTTTATACCAAATCCCAAACTCTATTTAACACCATTCAATATTGGACAGTTACAAAGTCATGTTAAAAAAGGGGTAAAAAAAACGAGTGGTCCTGCAGAAAACAATGTTGTCATCTGAAGAAGTGCCCATGAAAGCTCATGATACTAACTATATTTTTGTTAGTTTCTAATATGCTATAGGACTATTCATTTTTTAACTGCTTTTTTAAAGTTACAGACTAATTCAGCTACCCCTGAAACTTTTAAGGTCATGTTAACGCCTTTAACTCTTTGAGCCCATATATTCTATCTAAACTAATATGACAGGATGCACTAAAAACAAAGACCACTACAAACAAGGCCATGAAGCTTTATAAAATTGATTTTTAAAGAAGCTTTTCAGGCCTACAATAATAGTTTCATGTTTCTGTAACATCTTTGCTTCCTATGATATCCTTGGATTTCCTACCCAAATGTGATTTAATAAGCTCAAACTAAAGTAACAGGTCTGCAGCAATAGCCTTGAAAGTATATTAAAAAATGTGGACACTAGACAGGTCACTGTGAGCCAGGACCATTAAAGACAAGTGTACTATTGTCCAGAAGATTATAAAGTATTGTTACATATCTATTTTTCATAATTTATAGCAGAAATACTTTCTATAGGTCTTTTTGGAAACCCACAAGAAAGTAATTACTCAAATACACCTACTTGTAGACTGAAAGGGTTTTATATTTAAAAAATTTTGAGTCGAGACACTGATTTAAAGTAGGATACATTGGTTAGCCAACAGGAAACATTTGTCTCCTGTAAGTACTATAAGTGACATGCAACAATGACATCAGTACCACATAAGTAAGGCCCTACCAAATTCACAGTCTATTTTGGTCAATTTGATATTAAAATAATAAATTTCATTATTTCAGATATTTAAATTTGAAGTTTCACAGTGTTGTAATTGTGGGGGTCCTGACCAAAGGAGGTGGAGGAAGGTTCAGAAGGTTATTATGGAGGGGTTGTGGTACGGCTATCCTCATTTCTTCATGACTGCTGGTGGCCATGCTGCCTTCAGAGCTGGGTGGCCAGAGAGCAGCAGCTGGTGAACAGGAATCCAGAACTTATGGCAGAACCACCATGACCAGCAGCACAAGAAGTAAGGATGTTACTGTATGGTTTTGCCACCCTTACTTCTGCACTGCTGCTTTCATAACTTGGCCCTTGATCAGTAGCTGCCACACTCTGGCCATTCAGTTCTGAAGGCAGCAATGCAAGAATCACAGTGGCATGGTATGGTATTGCCATCCTTATCTGCACTGCTGCCTTCATACCGCAGTACCCAGCCAACAGCCAGTGCTCTCCAGCCACCCTGCTCCGAATAACTTTGTGTCCCTCCCATCTCCTTTTTCTGTCATAACCCCCAAGTTGAGAAACAATGGTCTCTCCCTTAAAATCTGTATGGTATAGAATAAATGCACATAAAAGACTAGATTTCATAGTCTGTTACACATTTGGTATGGCAGTAAATGAGGCAGGGCACTACACATGAAGGATAGTGGCATTAGGTCAACTAATTAATTCATAACTTTCATAACCAATGCTTCCTACACAATTTAGTTGATTGTGCACCACAGCTGAAGTCATTCCAGTAATCTTATTCATTCAGGCTGCGTCTAGATTGGCATGATTTTCCAGAAATGCTTTTAACGGAAAGGTTTTCCATTAAAAGCATTTTCGGAACAGAGCGTCTAGATTGGCACGGATGCTTTTCCGCAAAAGAACTTTTTGCAGAAAAGCGTCCGTGCCAATCTAGACGCGCTTTACCACAAAAAAGTCCCGATCGCCATTTTCGCGATTGGGGCTTTTTTGCAGAAAACAAATCTGAGCTGTCTACAGTGGCCCTTTTGTGCAAAAGTTTTGCGCAAAAGGAACTTTTGCCTGAACGGGAGCAGAATAGTATTTCCGCAAGAAGCACTGATTTCTCACAGCAGGAAGTCAGTGCTTTTGCGGAAATTCAAGCGGACAGTGTATATAGCTGGCAAGTTTTTCCGGAAAAGTGGCTGATTTTCTGGAAAAACTGGCCAGTCTAGACACAGCCCCACTGTTTTAGGGATAGAATTGAAACAGTTTAAAGGAGAATCTAGGTTTTAGCTGTCTAGAGCGTTTATACATCGAAGTATGAAAATATGCTTACCTTGCCCATTGTTACTGCCGTTTGAACTCTTGCTGCTACAGCATCTACCCTGGCACTCATGCGCAAAAAATTGATTGCCTGATTCTTCTGTCGGATTGCATTTTCTGCATGTATTCTTGCAACTTCAGTATTACCCTTCTGGATTGCCTGTTTAAATAAAAGCAAATCATCTCTAGCAATAATTACTCATAATTCATAATTATCCCTCAAATAATTCATAATTATCATTCAAAAAAGCCCTTATACTTTCAAAAGTTAAGCCAAGGTCCAATTCAACTCCTACTGAAGTCAATGGAAAGATTCTAAATAACTCACATGTAAACTAGATCAGTGCCTGCCAAATGTTTTGAGCATACAGACCCCTTTTCAAACTATTAATAATAGAGCTGTTTTCAAACATTCCATTACTTGATAATTATTTGAAATGTATAATAGTTCATGTTATCTAAACAAATTAGTAGTATTGAGAAATACTACAGGATATCCACATTGAAATATAACAACTTTGAGGTGCCATATATTTGTACTGAATAATGCAAACATAAGAATATGTACACAATTCATAGGTAATATGCTTAAGTTACATTTGGTAAATGGGTACACGTTATTAGGGTACATTAAGGTACACATTCAACATATGCAGCATTCCTAGCACAGATGATGCTGATCCTCAATTTCCCTCCACACATTGTCTAACGCCGCAGATGTCAATCTGAAACTCAGAAGAACATAGAGACAGAAACTTATATATACACGATGCGGTACCTGTGCAAGATTCAACCATCTCACATTCATACATAAAAAATTATAATGCTTCAAAGTTGTTACATTTCAGCGTAGACACCCTGTACTTTACTTGCTTAACAAAGTGGCTGATGCTGTAGTGTAGATGACAGAATGTAGATATTGGTTGGATTGATGACAGTCTCAGCCTAAGGCTGATTCCACATTCAGTCGGCTCTGGTACTTCGATTTTAAATACAACCAACGATTTTAATATAACCAACACTGGAAATCCAATCTCACAAACATAAGTTGTTGGAAAAGGCATCAGGTATTTTGCAGCCTTGTAAGAAAGTTCTGAACACTGAGTAACAATTTATAGCCAATAGTAAGACGTGGGGCTTTTGTTTGAAGACAAGCATCAACAAGGTGTCACATGATAGTTCAGTGAGATTCGGAATGTCAAATTTGAATTCTTGGGATTTCAAACTTGTGTTCATGTCAGTATCGAGGTCCACAAACGAGTTTCTGATCCAATTATTGTTTATATTGGTACAGGAAAGTACTCACACAGCTGTCTTTTGAGATTTTGAATCTCTGATTTCACATTTTACCTTATGTATGAGTTGCATTTCTGAGCTAGCCAAAAAATAGGACAGATTTGGGAAAGAATCATAGTTGGACTGATCAAGTCACGATGTCCCTAATTTCTTGGGGCCTAATTTCTTGATCATAGCACCAATTTTTTCATGGGCATGGAAGATGGTCACAGCTTTTCCCTGTAGACTTAGATTAAGTCCATTTAGGTAGATGAAGATATCAGCTAAATAAGCCAATTTAGCTAGCCAAAGAAACTCAATAAGGTGATGAGAAAGTTCAAAATGATGGTATAGCAAAAAAATCCTCACTTAATCACACAATTCAAACAGACACGAGAACCTTTCCTCTCAAAAGGCAGCAAACTTCCCTGTGAAGAAGTTGTTAGCTGTGATCACTGGCCATCTCACCACACAAAGCAGCAAGTAGTCTTGAATTCAATGGATGCGGCTTGATGAAACTGACAATCTTCACCGACTCGTCCAAAACCATCGTTAGGTCAGCAGGCTTTTTTTTTTTTTTTTTTTTTTAGACACGAGAACCTTTCCTCTCAAAAGGCAGCAAACTTCCCTGTGAAGAAGTTGTTAGCTGTGATCACTGGCCATCTCACCACACAAAGCAGCAAGTAGTCTTGAATTCAATGGATGCGGCTTGATGAAACTGACAATCTTCACCGACTCGTCCAAAACCATCGTTAGGTCAGCAGGCTTTTTTTTTTTTTTTTTTTTTTACAACTAGCACTAAGGGTGCCAATGCTTTAACTCAAGTGATTACTCCAGTGTACTGGCCCAGTCATTGCATGAGCTCCATCAGTACTGATCCCCACACATTCTGACCAGTCAATATCATGTTCCCTCATGAAATCACTCAACACCTCAAAAATAGCCTCACCTGTTGGGGGTGTGGGCTAGTTATGTTCAGGACTAGTCAGTCGGTTCTCCCCGCCCCCTTGCTGCCTCTATAATATAATATAGAGGCAGCAAAGGTGGGGGGCGGGGAGAGGAGTACTTCAAAGCAGCAGCGCCGCAGAGCTGAGCCAGGACTGAGTCAGCTGACCCCGAGCTTCACGGAGCTGCTGCCGCACATCTGATCCCTGGCTCAGCTATGCGGCACTGACCTTTTAAAACGCCGCCGGGATCAGCTGTACTGCCGAGCGTGAAGCCTGGGGTCAGCTGGGGACAGCGGGGTCACCGGGATCAGCCCGGGTTCCAGGGAAGTGACACATGGAACCCAGGGTCCATACGGCATGCAATGCAGCATGGAGCCCAGGGTCAGCAGGGGAATCCGAGTCCCCCGCTGACCCCAGGCTCCATGGCTTTGAAATGCACAAAAGCCCCTGCTGGGGACTCTTGTACATTTCACAGTAGCCACCCGTGTGCAGCCCGGAGTCAGCGGGACTTCCCATTGGCCCCGGGCTGTACGCGGATTTCCGCATTCCTCCTTTGAAATGTACAACAGCTCCAGCGGGGACTCATGTACATTTCAAAGGAGAAATGTGGAAGTGCCAATGGACTAATCAAGTAGTCAATGGAAATTCCATTGACTAGTCAATGAATTGCAATTTAACATCCTTAGTGTGCGCAAAGATTTGCAAGAGAAGTCCTCTCGGACTTGTCTGTTGTAGTCATAACTGATGACTGACAGGAGGTTTGAATGGTTTGTGATATCCGTTGACATCAATTTGCAAAGAATTGAAGTGACTTTTCTGCACTTTCTCAGCTAGTTGTTTGTTAACATTCTGAGCCATTTTGGCAATTCTGTGCTGAACTGTGTTTCTTGAGAGAGAAATTAAACCAATCTGTTTGCCAGCCTTGTCTCTGAGCATTGCACTCACCATCTCCTTTGCTGTGGGTAATATCAATTCTTCTCCAATGGTGTGTGGTTTTCCTGTCCTCACTAAGGAGCTGAGCCACCCGCTAAGAGGCTTCCATTGTCTTAGCATTGTCACTGCCTGTGACTATGTAAGGGTATGTCTACACTACCCCGCTAGTTCGAACTAGCGGAGTAATGTAGGCATACCGCACTTGCAAATGAAGCCCAGGATTTGAATTTCCCGGCCTTCATTTGCATAAGCGGGGAGC